AGAGCAGAAAAGAAAACGCATAAGTGCAAGCAAGTGGTAGGAGAGAAGTGGAAAGAGTAACGCACAGCTATTGGAAAGAGGAAGGAGGAGAGTTGCGCATGCATAGTGAAAGTGCGGCCACTGCCGCTGACGCCCACACCGCGGCGCATAGACCGGAACAATTAGATGCTCCGCATCTGGAAATTTCATTTCATTACAGACGATGCCCCAGATGTACGTCCTCTCCCAAAATAAGAGAAAGACGGTATTTGGATTGTTCGAATAGCCAATAGCAATCACGAACTGAAAGAAGGGTAGACAAACAGCCTCTGTATTTTTGTATTGCTCAGCTCTCTCTCTCTCTCTCTCTCTCTCTCTCTACTGAGACATAATGTTTTTACTGCTATTCGACAAAAGATGGCATTGTGCTCCACGAACACTCACTTGTGATTCTTCAAAAGGTTGGCTTTTTTTATCTAGAGGTTGCACTGTATGAAACTTGCTGAGAGTAAGGTAAGTGATTCGAGCAAAAGACCTCACGAGAATACCAGGAAGAGAGAAGGTCAGAAAGTCTGTAGCTTGGGTGTGTTACAGTGGCCATTCATTTCGACAGTCGAACACTCCACACAGTCGTCAAACAGTGGCCCCATAAGGTCATTGTAGGCAAACGGGCCAATCGAACTTTCACGACACAATGCTCAGTGTTCGAACCACGTCTACAGCTAAGTTTAAGCATTTAAAAATAAATGTCAATTACAGCAGTCTCGTCATGACTTTATCCTTTCTGCTCCGTAGTAATACATACTGTCACAAAACGAAGGTCATGCTATTTTTCACTCAGCGGACGCCTTAACTAGGCATATGTAAGATGACACTCTAAAGAACGCGAGAATTGTTCAGTAATTCATAATAAGAAACTTTGCATCCAAACTCTGACATGAAAACTGAGGCCGAGCTCATTTACATTATCCATGTGCTCGCAATAATAATACCAGTTTAAAGTTTTACGTCCCAAAACCAAGATATCAGTAATTTAGAGAGGCCCTGTGAGGGGCTCCTAAAATATCGACCTTCTGGTGTTCTTTACCATGCACTGACATCGCGCAGAACAAGAGCCTCTACCACTTCACCTCCATTGAAATTCTACCACCGCTGCCGGGATCGAAGCCTCAACCTTCGGGTCAGCAGCTGATTACCATAACCACTACTCCAATGCGGTGGTCTGATCATGTGAGGGGTCTCAAACACGCGGCTCGTACCAGATGTATTTTTTTAATTTTCTTAATAAGTATGTTCATGAGCGCACATGTATGACCGTCTAAAGTACTGTGTTCGTTAGGCATTTCATGAGGTCACCACGTGTTGAAAGGTAACCGTGAAAGATAACAAAATCACAGCATATCCATGAGGTAAATGATTATGAGCGGGGTGAAGCAGACGGACGGACGGATAAATGGGTGGACGAACACACGGACGGACGCACGCAAGGCCGGGCTGACGCACGAACGGACGCATTGACGAATGGACACACGTACGGACGCACGCACGAACGCCGTGGATGCACGAATGGACGCATGGAAGGGCGGATGGACGAACGCACGTAAGCACGGAAAGTCTGATGTATGAACTCATGGACGCGCGCACGGACGGAAACACAGACGGATGGATGTCCGTCCGTCCGTCCGTCCGTCCGTCCGTCCGTCCGTCCGTCCGTCCGTCTGTCTGTCTGTCTGTCTGTCTGTCTGTCTGTACATGCGTGCGAGCGTGCGTCCATCCGTCAATCTGTCAGTGTGCCTATCCATCCGTGCATGCGTCCATGTGTCCGATCGCGTTCGAGAATGCAGACGGCGTGCGAGTAACACTGACGAGACGCGAGCCAAGGAAGCTGAGCGCAAGCGTCTTGAACGCGCCCGCCGCTCTGATTCGTCATTGGGAGAAGCAGGGGTGGCTATTACGACGGACGCGGAACTAACCATCTCTCTAAGGAGCTTCGCCACTAAAACTTCCGAATCGGCACCCAGAGTTGAGTTGAGTTTAATCCGAGGTCCTCGGCGACGGCCCTGGCCCACTGTACAGCCCACACCTGGTCTTCTAGGGCATCGCTGAGAAAGGCGTTTTGCTATTGCTCAACAAATTGCCTCTTTTTGGAGGGTCCATCAGTTGGCGTAGTCCTCTCTCGCGGCCTATCTTCGTTTCGTGCGCGTTGTCAAAGTGCACGTCCCATGTCGGTCCGTTCGTGCCCGCACCACGGGTGCAGCGCGGGCCACACGGGGTGCACATGCATGGTAGGGCTTGCTGAATGTGCCCGTCTGCAGCCGTCTCATTTCAGCCATTTTGGTGAACGGTGTCGACATGTTGTTAAAATCTTGGAGCCAAATCTTCAGAAATGACCGGTATGTCTTATGCGGTAAATGTTTTCTTTCACGCTATAGAGCTTGCTGACAATGTGTCAAAGAAATCTCCTCCCCCCCCCCCGCACACCCCTCCCGCATCTACCTCTTCCCCCGACCTGGTCCCTTGCGGTACTTAATTCTAGACAGCAGCCTGCTGTTAGAAATGAGTTTTAGATCCATAATCAATGTGCTAGCAATTTGTTCGACGCCGCACACAACACCCTTCACGCAGTGTCGGGGGAGCATCATGGTCGGAGAATAGTTTTACTCTCGCCCGAGAATTAAGAAGTGGCAATGACGATAAAAACATTGCCGGCAGAGTAAGGCGGTATGTGGTTGGTCGGCGCAAACAAAGTTGCCGTTGAATGGACTTCAGAAGGACGCCAGAATTCAAGCCATAAGTAGTCAAAGATGCCACGTCATGTATTATTATCGCCTAATTTGTAGTTGAAAAGAAACGGAGCAGTGTTATGAAAAGATTTCAGTATTTATAATAAATAAAACCATTTTGATTACATAATTGAGACGTCTCCCGGTAGCCAGAAAATATCCATGGCACCAACTGGAAATTTTTGTCGCCAAACGGATCGAAAAGTAACCAGTTGGTGGCGAAGTACCCACCAACGGCAAACCTGGACGCAAGGTTTAGCTGATATGTAAAAATGCTTGCACGTAGGGAATAACCCACAGCATTTGAATTTTAGAATGTGTATCTTGCGTAACAGATTTTTTTTCTAGCTAGACTGCCGAAAGCATGTAGCCTTAGCATACCGTAGGAAAGTGCTCAACATTGTGCAACTCAATGTTCAAAAATGAATGTTCACCCATTTTCGTCACTGCCCTTCTTTGCAAAAACGTGAATTTGGTATGATATCTCACAGCGTGGAGGATGAATCTTTCCGCTGCATCGCCGAAAATATGTAGCAATGGCCTTCTGTGTGTAATGAAGAAGAAATGAGTCTAAGTGTCGCAATGAAACCAAACGATAAACCAGCTATGATCCATATTACTATTCTTCTCTGTCGGCACATGCATAGCTATTTTTTTAATTTTGAAGCGTTTATTCAATTTATTATCTATTACTAATAAAAAAGCCTTATTTCTGTACAATTGAGGGAGCAATCGAAATTTCATATGAAATTTGGGATGTTTTTAATCGACAAAGTTCATATTTCTGAGATTCAATACCATTTTAAAACATCACTCAAATATCGGCCAATCTTTGTACAGTGGGTATGAGCCACAGTAGAAGATGAAGAATAACGAGCTGTGGAGAAATGGACTCAATTGAACAGTATTTTTATCTTGTCACCGATACTCTATACTCATAAAAAGACTTCTAGTTATTCCCTTTCTGAAAATAGGCGTTGCATCGACGGCGGAAACTGTGCTGAATTTTGGTGCCTCAGCTGTGGAACATGGCCACAGTGATGCTTTCAATGCCGTTTGCGATTTTATTCAGGCATCCGAACGTTTCCTATTGTAATCACCAATCAAATAAATATCATTGCGTATCATCAAAAAGTGTTTATTCTGAACGGGTAGGTGAGGTAAATGCCACTGTGTGGTCATATCAACACCTGAAATCTCCAAGTATCTCAAGTTGACTTTTCTATTTTTCACCCTTTTTCTCTCTTTTTAGTGGTTTTTCTTGAATTAAATATATTATAGTACAAATTCATTCTTACACGTAGTGGTAATGCTCATTGAAAAAGTGCACTACGCTTTCTTGGTCAATCCCCCTGAGTGGGTATGAGCCGTAATTTCAAAGAAACAAAAAAACAAACTAGTCGGATATCCCGTAGTGTGTACAAGCCAAAGCATAGACAAAGCAAGCAGGCAAACAAGCCAGTATAAGCTCTTGCTGGACGTTGCTTCTGTTCGCGCTGGAAGCCTATACGTGTCTGTGCTATCTCATTTGACAGCTTAACTTGTCAAGGCTGCGTCTAAGTTCTTTCTTATACCTGTAATAGCGCCTAATGAGGCCTGAATAACGTTTGATGTTCAGTTAAACCGCTAACAGCGTGAAACACAGTATCATGACAGAGACGTATCAAGTGCTGACAGAGATGGACGGCGCTTATTTCGCCAATGCCATTGTGCTATTTTGCGCTGCTTTCCGTTTTCTTGAATACGCACCAACCGGTTCAAATGAATACTATGGTGTAATGATTCAAGAAAATTGATGAATATGTATCCATAATATCCATCAGCAGTTCACACTACGCACCGCCATGAATGAATGATTTCGAACCTTTATTCCGTATGGAGGAGGACGGCTTCGGCCACAGTTTGGGAAAAAGGTTGGGGAAGGATTTGCTTGGATGTACGACGTAAGCATATGAATAACGTCAGCTCACGCGAATCCGTTTTCAGTAGAGGTTCAGCAAAGTCACCCTCGCGCACGATGGTCGGCCTATTCTGCACCACTCGAAGCAGGACCAGTTATACCAGCATGAGTGACAGTGCTTCTGTGCTTCATCATTAGATTGTAGCACAATGCCTAAGCTTCTTATTTGATCGTTTTGTGGGTGCTAGGTGCGTGTACTTCCTCGCGAGAAAGCTGAGCGAATTCGAAGGAGGTGGCGTAAATCTACTCATATGAAGAGGATTCCAAGAACAACGAGATCTTTTTAACGAACAGTTTATTGGTTTTCAATTACTGGTGATCAAAAGATGCACCGAAATATAATAGAAAGCAATTAGGAACCATTGGAATTGCCTAGAGACGGACGAAAGAGTGGTTGTTGATTTGAGCTTCCTTCTTTGCCACTTCATGGTGGCATTCCGTCAAGCTTTGAGAGGCGTATAAACATCCACTGTTGTGTACTGGTCATATGTAGTCCTGCAGTTCCACTGTCACACACGGCGGGTTTCGCATGCTTGATTTGTCCGGAGGGGAATCTTTGAGAGTCCACCGTACCCCTTCCTTCTGCAATGTATAAGCATCAAATGTTAAAAAAAAAGGTCACAGTGATTGTCTTCGTAACTTTTTGCTCTTGAATGCAGTCAAATTTATCAGTTCGGGCAGGCTGTGAGAATGGCGGCGGTAGGCGCTGCGTTTAATCGACTACTATGATATTTCCTTAATCCGCAAGTGTGCCTTATTCGATGCATATTCGCCCTACTAATGGTGGCACCAGTGGTGCTTCAAGTGGAAACGAGGTCCTAGCTGCACGTGTCCGGAGCTGGTCTATTATATGTGTATATATCAAGGCAGCCGAGTCAAGATTCTCCACGTCATCTAGCGCAAGTAAACTGTGCTCGAATACATTGGCTTTAGGTAAGACGCTAGATGCCATTAGTATATAGGACAAACTGCATAGCAAGAAAGCTAGCTTTACGATTATTAAAAAAGCTGTATTGCACATGGTGACCGTAGACTTTCTTTCAACATTAATTCGAAACAGCGCGTCTCAAAGAAGTCTGGCTCTTCAGCTGCACTGCTAAACTAAACAGCCATTAATTGTACAAACAACGTTTATAAGTGAATAAATAAATGGTAGTAGCGAAATCATTTAAGGAGACAGCGTTTTCAGTAGAAGTAGCCATTCCAAAGCCCTCAAAATACCGAGAAGCGTCTATATAAATTTGAATCTTGGGTCCAGGTTTAGTATCAGTAAGCGCTCAAAAAGTCTTCTTAACGAAGTGCTCGGAACCTTTTGAATATTTCATTAAAGAGGGACATTTTGTCGTAAATCTTGATTGCCACAAAGCTCAGTATATTGCCCAGACGTATTTTTTTTTACATGTAATTTCGTTGTAAAGGCCTTTGTTGTACATGCACATAGCAGTGCGTGCTTTAGCGGGCTATACCACGTGACCTGTGTTCAAATAACTTTGGCTCCGCCAATCGCGGGACAACGTTTTGGGAGGAAAAAAATAAACATTGAGCTTCGCCTGACGCTCTGCTTCACTTGACGCTCTGCATAGGCACGCCCCTGATATCCCGCCCTTGATTGGCTTGCTATACCACACAAATGCGGCACTCTTCTTTGTATTGACATCTGCGTTTCTTATCACGCCAGCGGATAAGAGCAAGAAAATCGGCAACCAGTGGGGCGTCATTCATAGTGATAATCGTACGAAGACATCTGACGAAACAAACGACGTATCGTATACCTCACCTCCGTGTTGTATGTGCCACTGAATCAGCACGATATGTACAGGCTCCTGCGGCTCCATGATTTAGCCGTAGTGGCCGTGGCCGTATCCGCCCCCGTACCCTCCTCCACCACCTCCTCCCCCTCCACCGTATCCGCCTCCGTAGTCGTGGTGGGTGCGCTGGTCAGTCGAAGTAGTTGGTGTGCCCGTGGCTGAACGTGTAGCCGTGGCCACCGTAGTGATGGCCCGCCTGGCACACGGCCACAAAAGCCAGTGCCACGAGTAGAGTGGCGAGCTGGGAAAGGAATGGAAGGGCCAAAGTTGGCGCGTTTAATTCGTGAATTGAGAAAGAGAAGGTGAAACTTCAACATTTATGGGCGTTAGCATAACGATCAACTGCCGGTTACCGAAAGGAACCATGTCCGTAGAATGAAGCCATTCGTTGCAGCTCCAGTAAACACTAGCGCCAGATTTCCCCCTAGGCTTTTTGTAGAAAACTATGCCCCCCCCCTCTCTCCACACAGACCGCTCTCAACTTTTCACTGCTACGGCCCTTTGCGGGGCTAAACTTCGTAGCTGCACCCCGGTAGCTAATGTGAGCTTGAGATGATTGATTGATATGTGGGGTTTAACGTCCCAAAACCACTCTATGATTATGAGAGACGCCGTAGTGGAGGGCTCCGGAAATTTAGACCACCTGGGGTTCTTTAACGTGCACCCAAATCTGAGCACACGGGCCTACAACATTTCCGCCTCCATCGGAAATGCAGCCGCCGCAGCCGGGATTCGAACCCGCGCCCTGCGGGTCAGCAGCCGAGTACCTTAGCCACTAGACCACCGCGGCGGGGCTGAGCTTGAGATGTCCAGGCTATACAGTCATACGCAGCACTCTAAGGTTAAGTCAAAACATTCTGACATAGCGGAATGTTCAACTTGTCTAATGAGCGATGTACTTATGTTGCTCTATTTTGGCCGCAAGTTGGCACGACTAGCATTCACAAGTTCCGTACACAGACGTAGGCACCACCACTGTGAGGGCTACACGATGGACACGCTCGCGAAATATGGCGTCTAATAACGATGTCGATAAACACTGGCAGTTTTTCCTAATTATGCATTAAACTCAAGGTGTTACGAGGTCTCGAATACTAATGAGGCGTTCTTCATAAAAGTAGAGGACCCTCTACATTCAAATCTAACTCAAATTATTTGCCTCGATATATTTACAAGAGAACGCATGTACAGCGACTCACACATTTCGCATTTCAGTTAACGTAATCATCGGTAACTTTTCGGTGCCTACTCGAAAAGGGCCTTTCTAAGCTAGCTTACGGTTCGTGCAATGCTTCACCAGACTTAAGACTTAAAATCTTTGACGTTCCCGTGTGATTCACACGCTTATTTTTATACAGCGAGAGCATGATTTGGATATGACTCTCTGCAAATGCACCTGACCTATGCAGCTTTATTCTAAAGCATTCGGCATGTTCCTAAAGCTTCAGTACGTAAAAGGAGGTGACACGTTTACTTGTGCATTTTCTTGCGTAATTATTCTTGACAGAAGTGCAATAATACTTCTGTTGTGTAGTCAAGCACATTATATTTTTGCATATAAAGAATCACATCTCAGACTCGAAATACTCGTACAATTCGTGATCGGTTGTATTCATTCTGAGCAAACGAAAAATTGACGCAATTACGAATTGGTGAGGAGACTGAGGAGACATTGGAGCTAGAGTCTTTATCCTGCTCATTTGTCTGCTCCTCACCCTTACTTCTATTTCTCACCTGTTGTTATGCAATACTACTGATGACTATGGCAAGCCTCACAAAGTTTCCTATGAATACACTAGAGGGTTCTCTGGCGCCACTGTCTACGGAAACTGGAACGCACGGCGCTGCAGCTTCCGATGAGTAGTACGCGAATTTGTCTACTCTTTGTTTTTTCAACTATGTTTGGCTTCGCGTGGCCCGGAACCACTTTGTCACCGGACGAAAGTCAGCAAATGTTCAGTAATTGCACTTCACCACCTCAAGCTCTCAGGCTCACTAATTAAGATCGGCTCACGAAGTTCACAACGGTCCGTTCTCTTGTTCGAAACAAAACCAAAACGCAGCGATAGACAAAGTCACAAATGCGCACGAAGCCCGATTGGGCAAACCTGTGTACTAATCATTATTCCCACGGTGGCTCAACGACCGCAGCGCCACCGTCCCCTATGTAATTTTAGGAAGCTTCATGGTATACTTAGGTATAAAATGCTCTACCCTCTCCCTTCCTCCTCACTGTCACATTTATTTCTCACTTTCTTGCTATACACGCTATGCAAAGCTATGCTATGCTTTTGTTCATCAACTTCCTTCGTCTCTTTATTTCGGTATATTTAATTTTGTAGTTGTCTGTGCTGTGTATTCTTTTTCTTTCTCGCAATTTTTTTTTCACTCTCCACCAACAGCAACACAATCACTAAAATCTCTATCCGTGCGAAGTGAGGCACAGCTGTGCGGAGTGCTTGCTACGGAACGCGCCAAAGCCAGGCGGTGTTTCTTGAGCTCGCTCTGCGGACAAACAATGATTGTTCGCGCTCAACTTTCCCGGAACCCCGATATGATTACGCACCTAAATCTAAACTCGCGTACCTCCAGATTTCTAGCTCGATCCAAATGCGACCACTGCAACACGACACACGACGTTTGGTTCCGTAGTCGAGCACCGCATAAACGTTGTACCACCGATGCGGATTACCAAAGAATTGACTCAAGTGTGCAATTACAGAAATAGTTTAGCTTACGGTGTTTCTGACAAAACAGGCCTTGATCATAAGGCAGTCGCATCGCTAGCAACTTCATTAGTAAGTACTTTCGCTGCCCAAAACAGAACTCACCAGCGTCCTCATCGCGTAGTGTTTCTCCAAACAGCCTCGGTTCAGCGTTGATAACAGCAAATCCAGTGAAGACCCGACAGACAAGGCATACTGTCATAGCGAACTGCGCTGTTTCGTGGCTTTTATATTGGAAGACACGTGGTGTATACACAGTCACGTGATAACTATGGCACCTCTTCCCCATTCGATATAACAAGTACGCGCAGACAGAAAGAAGCCAACGAAAAAAAAAACAGACCACAGAAAGGAGCCACGGAGAGAAAACAATGAGTGCAACAACCACAACAAACACAACGCGACAGCTAGCCACTGGAGAAGATTGCTAGTCTAAATCGAGACGGCTTCGCGCGTCGGCTTTCGCGATCTGGCGCTGCGCGCGCGGTAGGGCTTAATAGCAGCCGTAGCCCACAGTAGATCCGTGCGCAGCCAAGCCTGAAGCCACTCGCAGTCAGCCTTTTGCGGTGGCCTGGTTGCAATGACTTCCTCGTCCGTGTAGAAGTGCACACGCGTTATACGCACTTGGTCGTGCACCGATGAAGGATTATTACTGACTGCCCGTTCGAAACAAACACGGCGGCAGTGGCCGTAGCTGCATGTTTTTTTATTGCCCGTGCATCTAAAAGGGACGGCTAGATGGAAGCGAATAACGTCGCGGAGAAAGCGAAAGTGGTTCGCGAAAGTGGTCCGGCGCCGGCAAAATCAAACGAGAGTGACAACCTCCTCTGGACAGGGCTTCGCGATTATGTAGGTCGCACCACGACGAGACGCTCGTTCCTGTACTTTTTTTTTCTCTCGCTTCGCGAGCGCCCGCGAAATGTAGCACTCGAACCTAACGAAACGCGAGGCCTGTGCGACAGCCGGTGTACGGGAGGAGCGTCCTGCAACAGGTGGACAAGAATAGCTTCGATCAGTGTGCTCGGTTTAGAACGTTGTATAGTGTTGG